ATCTATCTCTATAGAATCGAAGACCCAGTATATAGGAGGCTTCTCCAAGATCTTTAATGGAGAATTGCTGTGAAAACTATACTTTCACCGTAGTCAACACTCCTACATCATTCCCAATGAGTAGAATGTCGTCTACATACAGAACCAAGAACGTAACTTTGTCCCCACTAGTTTTCCTATAAACACAGGTCTCATCCGAATTCTACTCAAAGTCAAACGTTTTGACAATAGAGTCAAATCGGATGTTCCAACTCCTAGAAATTTGCTTAAGTCTATATATGAATCTATTTAGTTTACATACCATGTGTTCCTGACTCGCAGCTATGAAGCCTTGCGGCTGCTGCATATAGATATCTTTAGTAAGATCTTCATTCAGGAACCAAGCATGTGGGAGTAGATTTTCATTTCCTCTAGGATCTTTGCGTAGCTAACAAATTATTCCTTCGGTATCTCTGCTTTGAAGATCATATAGCTGACATTTTCACAAAATCTCTAGCCACACCACAATGCAGTCTTCTCTGGTCTAAGTTTCACATCTGGACGTTCAGTTTGAGGGGACATATTGGAGATAACCCTCATAACCAAACCAGCTTTGGAGATAATCCTCTTGGAGGTTATCCTACCAGATYCAGAACTTCTAACCAATTCAGATCCAATCTGGACTCTGAAAAAGATAAGGGCTGTAAATCAGGATCAAGATAATCAATCCTGTACTCTATCTAGCTTTCTATTGTTATCTTGTACATATTATTGTATCATCCAAATTCTTCACTACAGTCTATAAATACCACTAGCTTCAGTGCTCCAATTCACTGAAGTCTATTCCTCATATCTCTCTCTATTTCTGTTATTTCTTTAGTTTAAACTGAGATAAGATCTGAACCTGCAACAGAGCTATCGGCTGCTGTGGGTTCGAGCAAATCACATCGTCTACGACTATTGCACGAACACTAGTAGGTTTCTAGTTGCTCCTCTCGAGTGTGACCACCTTCACCATCCATGATTCATATTCTTCTGACTCGTCGTTCTTTACCGTTTCTGTGTAAAAAGCAGGACATAAATGATGATAAACATGAACTCCATGTAAGTTCCACTACTCTGGCGTGATACCGTACACAGTCCGGTGGGGATGGAACTAGTTGCCGTCGTCGTGTCTTTTTTTCCGTTCACACATCGGAGCAGCTACGACTGCTACCCCATCAAAGTCCGAAGACGCCTGTGTCGCATGAGTCTTATGAAGAAGGATCACCGCTTCAGGATTGTTCAGGTAATCGCTGTAAATATGGTGGATTTGGTACGGTTCATCGTTGCTATGGTTTAAGAATAGACCATATCCAAGGTTACAATAAATTTTGATGACCAAATAAATATGAAATATTAAATTTTTTCTTTATGGTATCCATAGATTATCAATTTTTATACCACATGTCCTATTTTGACATCAATAAATAAAGTGGTTTCTAAAAAAGAAAGGTCTCTCGAGAAATTCATTTAAATAAGATTCTTTCTTCATCAAAAATATCTTTTAGATGCTATCACACCTACAATTATACTCAATTCAATGGAATTGTTTGATCTCAAAAGAAGATCTTCTATAATTTTCGCACATAACGTAACGTAAAGGATTATTTCTAGTTTCGTGCAGTTGATTAGTAATGACAGATACTAAATTGGTAAGTTTTTAAAGTTCTGGATTGACACGGAATCAAAGTAAAGCTAGCCACAAAGTAAAGTTACTAATTTGCAATTTCTCCTAAAAGAATTTATCGCTCAATCGGCAACAAGTGTGAAATGGGGACTACATTTGAAGATTCGAATTTGACGAGTGACCCGAAATAAAATAATAATAAATAAAGACTTCTATTGTCATCGCTTAATTATCCAAGGAGCTTCCCCGCCGGCCCTTTCCTTCCCTAACCCTAACCCTAACCCTGTCAATGGATTCGGGCGCGCAACGGGTTTCTGCCGAGCTACCTCCTCTCCTTCGTGTCTACGAAGATGGCCTTGTCGAGCGGCTTGTGGGTTCAGGGTTCGTTCCCGCAACCTTGAACGACCCTCAGACTGGTGTCTCATCTAAAGACGTACTCATCTCACCAGAATCTGCTGTTTCTGCTCGACTTTACCTCCCCAAACTCACCTGCAATCGTCGAAAGCTCCCTATCCTCGTTTATTTCCGCGGTGGCGCCTTCTGCATCGAATCCGCCTTCTCTTTCCTGGATCATCGTTATCTCAATATCTTAGTTAACGAAGCCAATGTTGTTGCCGTGTTTGTCGAATACAGGAGAGCCCCGGAGCACTTACTGCCCGTTGCCTACGATGATTGCTGGGCGGCACTCGAGTGGGTTTCATCCCATTCTGTGGGGCGAGGTGCCAACTACGAGCCGTGGTTGACTGACTACGCCGACTTCGACCGAATCTTTTTGGGTGGCGACAGCGCAGGAGGAAACATCGTCCACAACGTAGCCATGCGTGCTCGTGCCCAGTCCTTGCCTCACAACGTAAGAGTTCGGGGGGCTCTCCCCATCCCTGTATCCACTAACAGGGAAAAGGTTATCCTTACCCCCGTTTTATAGGATTACTATTTCTCGTGATTTTTTTTTATATTGTTAATCATTTTATTTTTATTTTTTATTTTATTCAAAAATAAAAATAAAATAATTAAAATTTATAATAAGAATCTTATTAGAAAAGATATAAATATATTTAATTATATTTTTAAAAATATTAATATATACATATATACATATATAACATGTGTGTATATATATACCCACGGGATGGGGATCGGGGTCCTCGTGCGATTCCCATCCCCGTCCCCACGATAAAAAATCATCCCCATTCCTGTTTCATTCGGAACAGATCCCCATGGGAATCGGTAAAATGGGGAAAATTCCATCCCTAAGAGTAAACTTTACACCCCTATCAAAAATTTTGCAGGTGTTTGGCAGAAGTGTTAATATGAACTTGCATCTTCGAGTTCGGTTCAATTAGAGCAATGCATCTTTTACTGTTTTGTATTAAGAATATCTCCAGACTTGTATGTTTTATATATATTAAAGTGAAAGGGGTGTTTTTCCCATTTTCAAAAAGGTATCCCCACGTGCTCAAACTTTATAGTAATCCTATAAAATTCAGCCCACATCAGAATTTTATAACCCCAAAGTACAGGGGGAATGCATCCTGACAATGAATGCCAAATTCATGGGCAGAATGTGGTTTATAGGGGGAGAGGGCTAGTAGTAGGGGGAGTTGGATCGTGTGTATCCATTAGGGCTGTTCATAAGAAGGCCCAACCCGACCAAACCAATAAACCCAGACCGATCCAACCTGAGTCAGCCGGGTTTTCATCAGTATCAGTCGGTTTTGGGTTATACAAATTCATAAACCAATGGTTCGGGTCGGTTTTGGTTTTCACACATGAAAACCAAAACTGACCCGAACCGAACCAACTTAGTTCCTACTTAACTAAAAGGCTGAAATATCTGAAAATATATATTCCAATATTTATATCTAAAAAATATATATTATGAAATATGTCAGATATATATTTCCAGAAAATATATATTCCAATATATTTGTATGTATATTTTTGTTTATATGTATATATATTTCTAAAATACATATTTCAGTTTTAAATATATTTCCAGAAAACTAGGTGACCATGGGGGGCATGGATGAACTTAGAGCCGAAACCGACCCAAACTGACCCAACCCGACTCAAATCGACTAGGTTAGTTTTGCTTAACACTGGGTCGGTTTCGGTTTCCATCTCAGGTAACCCGACTAGGTCGGATCGATTGAAAAAACCTCAGTAAACCGACCCAACCCGACTCGTGAACAGCGCTAGTATCCGTATTTCTCCGAATGAAATATGTCTGCATGTGCATACGTGAGAGACACGTTTCTTTCTTTCTCTTTGCATTTGCATGATTCACACGTTTCCCCTCTCTTCCTTCTCCGTCTTTCTTTCTACCCTCTCAATCTCTCTCTCCCTCTTTTTCCCATTCCTCCCTTGAACTCTTTCGCCTCATCTCTCTCCTTTTCTGAACCTGTTTCCTATGTGAAGGCTCGACGGAGTGAGTGTTGGATTTTAATCTCATAAGAGATTAAATCCAATGGGTTTGATTGGTCAATTACATGAGAAATTGCACCTACACACTTGATTTAAAAATCTGTTTTTCTCTTACAAAAACTCGGTTTTGAACTTGTCCCACATTGGATAATTATAAGGTTTGTTTTCAGTGTTTCAATAGGAGCTGATTTACACTCCTTAGAATTAGTAGAGGAGAGTATGGGGATTCGATACCGCGCAACGCGCACGCACGCGTGTGCGCGCGTGTGTGTGGCGCAATGAGGCGTTTTAAAGGCGCACTTTGCTCGCACTTTGCGCGCACCCCCGTGGCTCGCGATGGGCGGCTCTGGTTTTGGTGCATTGATGACCGTTGATCACCGTTGATGAGATCAACGGTCACAATTCGATCGGGTGTGATCAAGAGGCACAATTCAAAGTTAGCAGTCACCAACTGTTAACTACTTTTTAAACAGTCACAATGTTTGAAATTGTGACTGTTCAAGGTGCCTTCTCTAAACCAGCACCTACCTTTTCATCATACCTCTTCACAAATTATTTAAGGAGCATGAATCAGACTCCAAAACACACAATTTCGAAATTCACTCTCTCTCTCTCTCAGTCCGGTCTGCTACAGTCTCACAAAAGGTTTCTTTGGAGACTCTTCAACTTTGCTGGTTGCATATTCTCGCCCAAAGGCTCTGTTGTATCCTTGGGAACGAATTTGCCTGTAACCCAACAGCAAACTCAGTAAAACTGAGTGGAGGCAAATAACGTTCTAAAGACAATGTCTTCAGACGTGTCTCAAAACTTCTCCTCCAAAATTACAGCGACCCCATCTTCCCCAACAGTGAGAGCAGAGGTGATTGGTGGATTCAGTCGGAGCTCCGATGAAGACTTGAAGGTGGTGAGGGGGGCGGAAGATGAGAAACATGAAGAAAGTGGAGCAGAGGTTGTAGATGTAGTGAGCAATGCTAATTTCAACAGTGGAGAGCAGAAGGGGCTCACTGTGATCGATACCCTTGAAAGGGGTAGGGAATTATTGGAATCATTGAAGGATGTGGAGGACCATTTCATAAGGGCGTATGACTCTGGCAAGGATGTCTCCAGGATGCTGGAGGCCAATAGAGTTCATCTGCAATCTGGTCTTGAGGAGATTAAAGGTGGGTTTTTTGTACACAAGTGTTCATTTTTCTATGTTTCTCCTTAGATTCTTAATGTGGGTCTATTTAAAGTTTTTTTTTTTTTTTCTGCTGCAAATTTGCGTAGGAGTTTGTTTTATTTATACTTTTTATTTAATTTTGTACCTTATAATAAAATCTGATTGATTGGGGATCCTGTGATTAAAACAATGTGAAACTCAGCTTCTCCTTTTCAGACATTTCTTTATTTTGTGGGTGTCCTCCCAGGTAAAACTGTAAAAGTTGCACATTCAGTTTACAGGGGTTCAACTTCCTCTATGTATTTTTTGTTAGCTCTTATCTGGGTATTCCTCTCTGATTTCAGGGAAGCTTAGTTTGTTCAATTATATATCTCTCTATGGCTTATTCTACCATTACTTGTGTTGGTTCATATTTATCAATTTCTACTTAATGATAAATCCAACTATGCCTGTAACTAAGCTATTTATACCAATTAAATGCAGAGAACTCCACAAAAATCATCCAA